ACCTATTGCATCAAAAAGTTTATAAAGCTTCTTTGCTTTTTTGATTCTCTTACGTAAAAGGCTATCAGAAGTGTCTGTGGGTAACTGTGATTTTACTTCTTTATTTAAAATTCTACCAACAGTATTTGAATCAACTTGCTTTTCCGATGCGTCTTTGAATAAGTGCCTTTCCAAATAGGCAATAACACACGATAGCCTCTTGGGTTTTACGATCTGCAAGAATTATAGCATCACAAAGTTTTTCATATAAAAGCGTAAAGTTAGTATCGCTGGACGCTTCATTCTGGATAGTAGTTATCACATCCCTATCTATATTATAATTATTAATAGAACTTGAGTTTTCAGAAATTCTGACATGATTTTCTGTACTATGTCTTGAGATCTAAGATTCTTTTCCCGGTTCTTTTTTCTTATTTTCTCACTAATCGTTTCTTTATGTACACTATCCAGGAAATCATTAATTTCTTCTCTTCCGGGAGGATTGGCTATTCTTTTTCTGGTGTTTATCAGAATCAGATGTTATATCAGAGCTATTTTCTATTCGTTCAGGAGTAATATTAGAATTTGAAGTATTATCAGGTATATTAGATGCAGGAGTATCTTTAGAATTTACTAGAGATCGCGAAACATCTTTTGTAGAAATACCTTTTTCCCTCTGTTCTAATATAGCGAGTCTGATCTCAAGTTCTTTATTCTTTTGCTCCAATTCCTCGACTCTAACATCACGCTTTACATTTTCCTCAATAATTTGCTTCAACCACGCATTCTCAGCCTCAACCTTAGCAGATATTAGTAGCTTCTCTCTAGTTTAGAAATTTCAGTATTCTCTTTCCTAAGTTTGGCATTTGATTTCTTTAATTAATCGTAATTTTTATATGAGATGAAATAATTCAAAAGTTCATTAAAAAAACGAGGTAATATCTTGATCGGAATTACTGATTTATTGATGTAAAAATAAATTACAAGATTCGGTAATACATAAACTTGTTTACAAAGTGAAATGACGTTTCTATGCTAATGTCTGTTGTTTTTCGCTTGTCTACTAATACACATTATCCCACTCCATGGTTCGGTTTCATTGTCCTAATCATCAATATACGGGATAAAACAAAATTTGTATTGGCCCTGAGTCGTTTTCTCGTAAAAATGCACCCCGAAAAGAAGTATACTTCATTTCTTCAACGGGTAAGAAAAAAAATCATATGTCGCACAGGCGTACTTTAAAATGCCGACTGTGTCGCAAAATCAATCGTGACGTTTTTGTATAAACTTGGTAAGTTTTCGTACGTTTAGTATTTTCACTAAAGATTATGTAAACAGAAAACTGGACTTATATACAAAAATGAATGGAAATAAACGCCCGTTAAATAGTCCTCTGTGCAGTCCTTTAACAAGGTCTTTATTTATTTGTACTTACTGGAAAATCAGTTCTAATTCCCGTTTTAACTCTCGATTTACGCGTTTGCAGGTATATCACCGATATCATGGTATTTTGTTTGTGGTGGGTACCAAAGTTGAGAGCTCCTTTCAAGTTGGAGGACAGGCAGAAATGAGTATTTCAGATCTAAGGGA